CCAGGGGCCCCGACAGGAAGGCGCAGCTGCAGAGGGAACAGATGCTCGCCTCCTGGGTGGTCTCGGGAGGTATCCGGAGACCCGGGGAGCAGGAGGCTCGCCTCACACCAGACACCAAACTTCTCAAAGACGATCTGGGACATCTGAGCCTCACTAGGACGGAAGCAAGCTCAGCAGCGTAACCGTCATCAGCATGCCCATTGTATGGGCGTGAAAACAGAGGCCCCCGAGAGGGGACATGCTCCATATTCTGGGAGCCACCCATCTAGTGGCTGCAAGATGCTGCCGGGGTCTGGATGAGGATTAGACGCTGTACGTGACTCAGGGCCCCTCCCCGTCACCTCGCAGAGGGGGCCCTGGGGCCTGGGCACGGGCGCCACGCCCGGAACTCGGCTTTCCCAGGTGCAACAGGAGGCAGGGACCTGGCTGCTCCTACAGGCCACACGGCCGCGGTGTACCGGCACACGGAGCCCAGCACCCACGGGCACGGTGGGGCGCTCAGCCTGGGCACCGTCTTATTAGCAGCTACCCCAAAACACGGGGCAAGGTGTTGCCGGCGTTGTCAGCCCTGGGTCAAGACCCTGAGTTATTCAAGGAGCCTGTGAGAAAAGGCAGCTTCCTGGGCCCAGTCCTCTGGGACCCGGCAACAGTGGGTCTGGGGTGGGGGCCCAGGAGTCAGTCCGCTCAACAGGCCCCCAGCCACCCCACCCGGGGGCTTCTGATGGACACCGGGGTCGGAGGGAAAGCAACGCATCGCCAGGAGCCCGTGGTTTCAGAAACGTTGGGTTTATGTGCTTGTCTCATTCCCAAAAGGATCCTGAAATTCATACCCCGTGAGCCATTGTACGCTTTGCACCTTTCGGATGGCCCGAGTGGGTAGGCCTTCCCCGACCCAGGCCACCAGGCCAATCTTGCTGCTCCGACATGCACCATGCCCGGCCAGAACACCCAGATCCTTGGGTGGCGGTGGCAGCCGTGCCCAGGTCCATATGCCCCCGGGGAGGAGATGGGTCCTGAGTCAGGGGTACAGCTTCCGATCCTTGGCCGGACCCTGAGCAGCATCGTATGTGCTAGGCTACGCTCCCCCTAGATGAAGGGGGATCCCCGGGTGGCTCCCGGAACGTGGAGCCGCACACCTCTGTCTCCTCTGCTGTACCATGAGGATCTTACTGGCAGCACCTGCCTTGCAGCCCCCAGGGTGGGCATGACAAGAGACCACAGCGTAAAGCACTGACTCTGGGCTCAGTCGCTGGCCCGAGTGGAACAATTAAGCTCTTCACCCATGAGCTCATCTGATCCTTCACCACCACCCTGGAAGGTGGAAACTATTATTAACCCTACTTTCCAGATGAGGGACATTTAGGTGACTCACCCTGGATCATGTGGGTAGAAGCAGTAGAGATGTGGTTTGAACCTGTGAGTCTAGCCTCCCGAGCCCAAGCTTTAACCATCGGGCTGTACCATCTCAACGCTAAGCCTCACCTACATTCTGGGGGCAGAGGAAGCAGAAGCTGGAGGAAATGAGGGCACAAAACCCCGGACTTTGGGGGAGAACAATGATGCCAAGCCTGACACCTGGGGAACCGGCTTGGGTGTCACTTAAGAGAAAAACTAAACTCAGGCCACCCCAAGCCAGCAGGGCAGACAGCTCAGAGAAGCATAGGACCCGTTAAGGTCAGGTTGGAAGAACGAGACAAGATCCACACATCCAGGGAAACGGTCACTCCCCAGAGAGGAGCCAGGTCTACCCGAGACTCCTTTTTACCTCATCTCCAACATGTTCCTCAGGAACTTGTAAGTAAAAAGAAGAGTTGAGTGACTCTATTGCCAAATAAGTTTAGAATTCCTCTATGCTATGTTCCCCATCAGGAAATCCACAATGGACGTTGACAAAATAAAGGTTCTGATAAGTTCTGTAGAGAAACCTGCTTAGTTTATCCAACCTAACACTTTCTTTCTCACACTTAACTCATGAATGCTTGTTCCCTTTGCCCCTGGGACACCCATCGACACTTCATGGGACACAGTTTGAGAGATTTTGGCATACAACAGGGACCGTACATTTGGCCCATAATCATCTGAAAATAATATTTTCAACTTTGTGGACCACAAAGTCTCTGTCCCACCTACCTAACTCTGCTGCAACAGCATAAAAGCAAAGCCTAGACAATGTGTAAATGAGTGTGGCTGTGTACTAATAAAGCTTTATGGGCACCAAAATGTGAACTTCATATAATTGTACGTCATGAGATAGTCATCTTCTTTTGGTATCTCTCACCCATTTAAAAATGTGAAGACTGTTTTCAGCTCCCAGGCCACAGTAAATCAGGATGCAGGCTGAATTTGGTCCCCCAGGCATATAGTTTGCCAACCCGATACAGAACAACAGAAAATTCTAGCATTTCTGGGATCCCCCTCCCCCTTTAGGTGTCACGGAAAGAGGAAAGAGGAGGGGAGAGAGGCTGAATGCTCCATCAGTAGAAAGAACAGCCTGGAAGCATGGTCCTAAACTCTGCGGCACCTCCCACATGGTGCCTGGCCTCAGGCAAGCGTCAAGTCCAGGCGGCAGCTCCGGACCAAAGCAGTGGCCTCTGATGATAGGAAAGAAAAGAGTCTGCAAAGCCCACCAGTGATAAAGCAAAGGTAAGGGGGATCCCTGGGTGGCTCAGCGGTTTAGCGCCTGCCTTTGGCCCAGGGCGCGATCCTGGAGTCCCGAGATCGAGTCCCACGTCAGGCTCCCGGCATGGAGCCTGCTTCTCCCTCCTCCTGTGTCTCTGCCTCTCTCTATTCTCTCTGTCTATGATAAATAAATAAATAAATAAATCTTTAAAAAAAAAAAAAAAGCAAAGGTTAGACAATTTAGCTGCTTTGCCCATATCCATTTGGTAAAACCTGGCATTAACCGTAGTAAAAACAAAAAACAAAAAAAACTAGAAAGTGGCAAAATATTTGCAGCTCCAATCACAGAGGGCCAGATATCCTTAGAATATAAAGAAGAAAGGGACCCTTGCTCCGCCAGAGCAATGGGCAGAGGGTACGAGCGGATGGCGCGGAGGGTTAGCTCCGGGGAGGGCACCCAAGAAAGGGCCCGGCCTCCCACCGCAGACAGAAAAGCAAAGCCCAACTACAAGGTCCCGTTTGTCGTCTCCCTGGTCACCAAGGATGGACAAGTCCAGGCACGGGTACCGTCCAGGCAGGGGCAGCAGGTGCCCCCGGGTACACTGGTGGGGGCGTGAATGGGACCAGCGCCGAGGAGGGCGGACTGACAACATCTCCCCAGACGCACAGACAGCGCCCTTTCGGGAATCCAGCCCGGAGCTACACTCACGGGGACGGCGACGTATGCCCTGAGGTTCCACTGCGGCTCCGTAGGTAAGAGCCGAGGACCCGAGAACACCTCCCCGCCCTTCCCAGGGGCCTGGAGAGGTCAGCGCGGGCAGCAGGGGCAGTAGAAGCACCACCAACACCATTAATACCAAAAGCAACAGCCCCGGTTTAGGGCGTGTGTCCTCGGCAGCAGGGGCCACACTCCGCCTCTGCTTCTCGACCCTCTGCCGACCCCAGACCCCCCAGACCCGCGGACTCAGAATCTGCACCTTAACAAGCCGCCCGGGGGATGCGTATGCACTAGCGAGGCCGCAGCTTAAAAACTCTGTGTTTTTAAATTCAGAAGTTTTAAGCTTCTGTGTTAACTCGCCCCATGGCAACTGTGTGTTGGAGTTGAGGAGGCTCCGAAAGGTTAGGGAAGTTGCCCAAAGTCACACAGCGAGCCAGAAAGAGACGCTCACCCCGCAGGGACACGAAAACACAGCGGCCTCTGACCAAATAGGGCGGCTCTTCAAGGGCTGCAAAGGGCCGACCCTCGAGGTAAGTTGTCAGGTACAAAAAAGCAGGGCGGCCAACACCGTATATACTTTGCTGCTACTTACAGGAGGAGGAAAAAAAAAGGAAGGCAGACTCCATATGCAGTTGTTTAGACACCCAGAGGGCAGCTCTGAAAAGATAAGCAGATTGATAACCGGGAAACAGCAGCTGCCTCTGGGGGTGGAAGCGAGCAGCGGCAGAGGCAGCCCCGGGGAGAGTCCACTCTTGCACGCATCTGCAGCTTGCATTTTGAGCCACCGGCAAGTTTTACCTACTCAAAAATAAATGTGTTTTTAGTTTGGGTTTTTTTTTTTTTTTTCCTGAACGCTGGTGTAAGGAAGAAGCTACCCACCCCAAAGCCATCCCCCACTTAATAAGAAACACACTTTGGGGGAAGAAAGGGATGCAAGCGGCTCCACCCTAGCTCCGGCTCATCCTCTGTCCTCCCTCGTGGGAGCTGGTGGATGCCCAGCAGAGAGTGAGTGGAAGGCATAGGGCGACGCAGGCGAACACTGGATTCTCCAGGTATTTGGGACACAGAACCACATTCAGGCTCTCTTGGAAGGGGCTTCAGGCCTGGTCCAACGCTGTGGTCCTTAACCAGGGGCAGTTTTGCTCTGCAGGGCACATTTGGTAACATCTGGAGATGTTTTTTTGGGAGATGCTACTGGCGTCTGGTGGGTAGAGGCCAGGGATACTGTTAGACATCCTGCCACGCACGGGACACTCAGGGTGTCCTCTGTCTCCCAGTTGGGGCACCTGGGTCATTGCGTCTCAAATGGTTATGCGTTCAGGCACCACCTGGGGCTCCAGTTAAAATGCTGGTTGTAACGCAGCAGGCCTGGGATGTAGCAGAGTCTGCCTTTCCGAGAGGATGCCAACCCTGCTGGTGCAGGACCTCACTCTGCACAACGAGGCTTCACCCAACCCGGCCTTGGCCAACTGTGTAATAATCTCTTGCAAAGGGGGCAGGTGCTACTTTTGCTGGGGATCGAAACGCTGGACAGTGAGTACTGGTGGCGGGGGGGGGGGGGAACACTCTTTTGATGGAAACAAGCATGAGCTTGCTGAGCCCCTGTGTGAATCCAGGAGCACAGACTGCATCAGAATCAATGGGGTGGCGGCCGGGGACCTACCGTCCAAGGTCTCCACGCAGAGCTGCAGGCCCAGGTTGTGTCGTGGGTTGACCACCCAGTGGTTGCTGGTGGCTGTGATGTCGAACACCAGCCAGCCCTCCTCTGAGGCCCAGAGGGTGCGGCTGTCCAGCAGGAACAGGTCTGACTCCCTGCAAGAAAGGAGGAGAGACACAGGCTCCAGGTCAGCAGGGCGTGGCTTGGTCACCCTGTCACCAGACAGCTGCTGCTGGAGAGAAGGAGCATGTGGAGTAGGGGAGGCAGGAGGAGGTCCCCTGGGCCCCCAAAAGTGGCTGCATCAGAGCAAGATCCAGGCCTGAAGAGCTGTGATGGGAAAAGGGGGTACGGAAGTGGCATTAAGAGATACATAGAGGGGACACAGAGCTGCTCCGAGGCAAACTCACCTTCCTACTTGTTGGGGGCACACCAATGGACAGGGTACGGGAAGGCCAGAATTCACAGCCTCTGTGTTGCTGGGCATCTCAGGGAACGGAGGCCCACATTTGTTAGATTTCTCACCATTTGCCAGGTACTGCCCCAAGTATTCTACACACATTATCTCATTCAACCCTCACGACCCTATGGTTTCGTGATATTATCATCTCCATTGATCATGGTAAAGCCATGATTGCCCCAGGTCATTGAGCCAGGAAGTTACTGAGTTGGGGTGTGAGCTCAGGTCACTGAACACCAGTGCACATGATCTTCATTTCCATGACCTGCAACTTCTTCATAAGCTCACCAAGCAGTAGGAGGTGAACTCCTAGACTTTACATTTTTATGAATAGAGATAACTCTTTAATACTCTCTTCCTCATATTTTGCAGTAGTAAAATGGGTAAAACTATAACTGATGTTATGGTGGATGGAAGATGGATGGATGAGTAGATGCATGGGTGGATGGGTGGGTGGATGGGTGGGTGGATGAGAAGATGGATGGGTAGGTGGGTGGATACGTGGATAGGTCAGTGGATGGATGGATGGATGGACAGGTGGATGGGTGGTTGGGTGGGCAGATGGATAGGTGGATGGGTAGGTAAATGGGTGGATGGGTGGGTGGATGAATGGATGGGTGGGTGGGCAGATGGATTAATGGATGGATGGATGGATGGATGGATGGATGGATGGATGGATAGATGGATGGGCAGAGAGATGGATGGGAAGGTGATGGGTGGTTGGGTGGGTGAACGAATGGATGGATGGATAGACGGATATAGGTGGGTGGGTAGTTGGGCAGGTAGATGGGTAAGTGGATAGATGGGTAGAAGGATGGATGGGTGTGTGGATAAGAGGATTGATGGGTGGGTAGGTGAATAGGTAGATAGGTGAGTGAATGGATGGATGGATGGATGGATGGATGGATGGATGGATGGACAGGTGGATGGGTAGGTGGATGGGTGGTTGGGTGGGTAGACGAATGGAATAGGTGGGTGGGTTGTTGGCAGGTAGATGGGTAAGTGGATGGGTGAATAGAAGGATGGATGGATGGATGGATGGACGGACAGGTGGATGGGTAGGTGGATGGGTGGTTGGGTGGGTAGACGAATGGAATAGGTGGGTGGGTTGTTGGCAGGTAGATGGGTAAGTGGATGGGTGAATAGAAGGATGGATGGGTGGATGGATGGATGGATGGATGGATGGGTGGGTGGTTGGGTGGGCAGATGGATAGGTGGATGGGTAGGTAAATGGGTGAATGGGTGGGTGGATGAATGGATGGATGGGTGGGCAGATGGATTAATGGATGGATGGATGGATGGATGGATGGATGGATGGATGGATAGATGGATGGGCAGAGAGATGGATGGGAAGGTGATGGGTGGTTGGGTGGGTAGATACCCAGGTAGGTGGATGGGTAGGTAGATGGGTGGATGGGTGGGTGAACGAATGGATGGATGGATGGATGGATAGATGGATATAGGTGGGTGGGTGGTTGGGCAGGTAGATGGGTAAGTGGATAGATGGGTAGAAGGATGGATGGGTGTGTGGATAAGAGGATCGATGGGTGTGTAGGTGAATAGGTAGATAGGTGAGTGAATGGATGGATGGAAGGATGGATGGATGGATGGGCAGGTGGATGGGTAGGTGGATGGGTAGTTGGGTGGGTAGATGAATGGATATAGGCGGGTGGGTTGTTGGCAGGTAGATGGGTAGGTGGATGGGTGAATAGAAGGATGGATGGATGGATGGATGGATGGATGGATGGATGGATGGATGGGTGGGTAGATGGATAGGTGGATGGGTAGGTAAATGGGTGGATGGGTGGGTGGATGAATGGATGGATGGGTGGGCAGATGGATTGATGGATGGATAGGTCGGTGAATTTTTACCTTCGTTGTAGTAGAATTCTAGAACAAGGTAACATCTTGTGCAGTTTTACTTATAAGCATTCAAAGTTTCAATATTTGGAGTCCTTCAATAATCAGTTAAAATATTTGAGCCCCCACATTGTGCCAGACACTGGGGTACAATGGTGAACAACACCTAACCAGCCCCTCCTCCAGGGCACTGACATTCTCCATCATACCTGGAGTGACCTAATTTTCCTGGGAATTATGGTGAATCCTCTCTGCTCACACATAAAGGCGTGAGATGTAGTGGCATCTCTGCTCGAACTTATCGAGCACTTCCTGTGCGTCAGGCTCCGGGTTGAAATGCCTGACCAGCATCAGGTCAGCACTGAGTCCTTACTACAACTCTCCGTGGTGGATAATAGTATCACCTGTGCCATCGTGCAGACCCCAAAACTGAGGCTCAGAAAGGCATAGCTGTCTGCCTGGGGTTACCAGGGGTCACCGCGTGCGAAGACACAGTCAAGGCTGGACTGAAATCCAACCAGACGACCTGCAAGCCCAAGCTTGCAACCACCCATGAACACCATTCTTCTGGACACTTCCTTTGCTCGGGTGTAACTGTCGTCATTTCAGCAAGTCAAACTCATCGTAATATAAGCCATTAAGCCATCAGCTGGTGCCGAGGAGCAGATGCCCCCTTTGCCAGGCACACATCTCCTATTGGCCTCGGTCCCTGAATCTCCAGTTACCAGTCATCCCCATTCAACTCTCCTGTGTGGCCCGGACACTCCTTGTTTGTGAGGTCAGCAGAACTGTAATTCTGCAGCGTGGTGTGCTGTAACACACTGACATCCACCAGTCCCCTTAACGGGAACAAGACTCGTGAGAAGTCCCACGGAAGAGAAATCAGTAATTTCAGCCAGTGTCTCACATTCGCTGTAACGCAGAACCCACTGGAAATGTATGGGGAGGTGAACAGGTCACCCAGAGAAGCCTACACAGGGATGGAGAAGCAGCCTCGGAACAAGACGGGAGCCACGGCAGGTGTGAGGACATGGGGCTGTGTCATCCAGCAGAGCCGTGGAAGGCAGGACTGGAGTTTGATTTCTCTCTTGCATCGCTCTGTCCCAGAGTCCAAGAGCGGGGAACCTAGCTGGCTTGGACAAGTTGGTGCCCAGCCTGTGGCCATGGGAGGGCAGGGCACCCCATGGTGACGGACAGCCTCCCCGGGGCCACAAGACAGGAACATAAGGGTTATCTGCATCCACGTCCCCCCCAAATCTCGCTTTTTAGGTCATACTCAACAATGGCCAGAACCTGACTCAGAAAAAAACCGAATTCTATCACCAGTGTGTGTGAATGGGCCGCGACCGCTGACCTGGCCAACGGCATGCAGCCCAACAGCACAGGCCTGCCACGCTCGAGTCCCCGATGGGCACGCTCCCCGCTCCCGTACAGGGAGATGACAGGCGCCGGGGCGGCCCCGTTAGAGCCACAGGGACCTTGAGGACCCTCCCTCGGCCCGTCGCGTCCTAACTGAGTAACAACGAGACGGTCTTTGACGACCACGCCACTTCAGCTTCGTCCCTGTACCCCTGCCAGGCAGCCCGACAGCTGGCGTGGGTGGGGGACGTCCACGCAGGTTTCGAACTCACAAACAGGAGTCTCCCGCCGTCTTGGTCTCCGCTCTGCCGCGGTGACTCCCGGGCCGTGGCGCGCCGCCAACACTGTCAGAGCACCAGTCAGCTGTTCGCAACAATAACAGGCGGGGAAGGAAGCCCGATCCACATCAAAACAGCTCCCCCGCGCAGGCAGGCTCCCGGGGCCCTCGTGGGAAGCGTCCACACCGCAGCACAGAAGTCGCAAACCTGGGTGGTGGCTTTGCTGGAAATTGTTATTTGCAGGAAAATGTGACCAGATATCTGGATAAGCCCTTATGGGCAGTAAAACAAATAGTAACTGAGGGCCTCGGAGCAGTGAACGCCTTGCCAAACGATACTAAACATTCTTATTACAGCCGTGACACCGCGCGCCAGATGTTACAGGCTAACGTTGACTCATCCCGTGAATCAGCGCAGCGCACGGCTCCCCGCCCCCGGGGCACGGTCTGCAGTCGTCCCAGGCCTGCCTGCAAGAGGCCGAAGCACCGGGGCACCGGGGAAGGGCAGCCTTGGCCAGCCGGGGAGCAGGGGATGCTAGCACGGGCTTTGCTTCTGCACCAAAGGTCCGGCCACGAGGCCAGCACGTCCGCAGGGATGGGTGGGAGAGGGGGGGCCCTTCTGGCTGCCACCTAGCACACCTCATTAGAGCACAGCGGTGAGCACGCCCAGGAGGAACCAGAGGAGCCCCTTGTGATGTGTTCCTTACCTTGGACACCTTGGCCTCCCAGACCCAGCCCAGCTGCGAGCGGAGGCGGGAAGGCTCCGGGTGAAGGGCCCCACTCTCCCACCCCCGGCACTGCTGGGGATCCGGGTCTTTCCTCGCATCAATCCTCTGGGGCCCCCAACGGTAAGACTGTTGATGAGCACAGTGGGCTCCAGAGAAGCAAAGCCAAGCATCCACGCTCAGTGGCCTTGTAAGGGACAGACCCGGGCACAGCATCGGAAGTCTGACCCCAGAACTTGAGCCCGTGAGCACTGTCACTTCCCTGCCTCACCTCACTCCAAAGAGACACGGGAGGTGGTGAGATCCTGCGTGATGCAGGATACTGTCACGACACTGCATGGAGCAGAGAAAATACTAGATAGGTGTGAGGTGTGGGTGGTGGGGGAGGGAGGAGGGTAGGTCAAGTCAGTGGATTCCTGGGCCTCAGTTTCCTCCTCTGTAAAATGGGGGTGATGCCACCTTCCTCAGCAAAGGGGG